GTGTGAAGTAACCTGAGCAGTGAGTAAAGCCTTTGAATTCCCAATGCAGTTTGAGCAAGAGAAATGCTAATTTCTTTCATCTCATTAACGACCACAGAGGGACTAATAGTATTGATGAACACCACACAAAGGGTGTGCAGTCCCATTATAATAATTACATAACCGATCACAGGCTGTTAAGAGATACCGAGGATCTTTAGATTAAGCATGATATAGCAACTGACAGTTCGCTGCTATGTCAGATACTACCCGCAAGTGACTCCTGGAGAAAATGAGGCAAGGGGGGGAAAGAAGGAAAATACAGAGTGATGCAAGCACAGGGATATTCAGCTTTTCAGTATTCACATCGTTTGCAGCTGCAAATTACACCAACAAAACCAGTGAGACACCAGAACACCGTCCACTGCAGAAAACATCTACAAGCAAGCTCTTTGATGTGTTACATCCAGTGCATCTAATTCTTTACTTTCATTATTCAAAAACTTTTTTTTTAAATCAATCGCTTTTCCTGTTAATACGAAGGACGTGCAGTGAATAGGACAGCCTGGTTGTGCACCGTGACATGTTTGTAACGCTGGCTATGCATCATGTTCAGGACAAATGACAGAGAGTAAGATTTTAAATGATCCACACACTGTGTACTAAAACATGCACAACACAAAAACGTGAAGGGGAACACATACGCACACGCTCAGACACACAAACAAAAAGAAAAGCCTCTATCCTTTTCCTCTGAACTTGATGATTCACAGAAGCAGTGACCTGGGGTTTGGGACACACTCTGCTTTTGATCTGGACTTGAGAAGCCCCCTCCAAGCCCCGAGCCATAAGACTCCATTTACTACTGCTGTAGAGCTGAGGAGCACTTAGCTTAATGTACGGGACAGTAGAATGACACACACACACACACACACACACACACACACACACACACACACACACACACACACACACACACATGCGGATCCTCATGGATTTCAGTATCTTTTATTACAGAAAGCATGATAAAGATGGTGTTTTCCCTGAGCTTTGGACATTTACATGTACAAACAATAGATGTGAATTTAATAAGATCCCATGCTACATGTAAATACAGCCTACTATTCGTGGTAGTTATTAGAATAGTGCCAGTGTTGGACTTTGTCTTGCCTTTGCCTGGCCTGTATGTAGAGTCTATAGGCAAGGTAAGGGATTTTTGTACCACTCTGCTTGTAGTCTGATTTCCACTGACCAATCACGTTTGATCAGGCTTTCGTTGCAGGAAGGTAAGCAGTGTGTGTGGACAACAAAAGAGTGCTTACATTTGCTGAAATTAGTGTGTCAAACACTGACTTTTTATTAGGTTTCAGAAATAATCTGCATTTGTAAACAATGACTACCATTTGAAACAGGAGGGTGCCCCAAAAACATGGCCATTGCCATACTTGGCTTGACTAAGCAATGGGTTCTTGACTGCCCACACTGATATTGACAAATATTGGTAAAAACACCCAACACTAAATTATGAACTTCATCCATCCATTCATTTTCTGCTTGCCCAATTCAGGAACATGAGGGGGGCTGGAGCCTATCCCAGCTGTTACTGGGTAAGAGGCAGGTGACTTAGACAGCTCTATCCATCACAGGACTAACACAAGGAGGCAGACAAGCATTCATACTCATGTTCATAGCTAGAGCCAATTTAGAACCGCCAGTTAGCAAGCATGTTTTTGGACTGTGGGAGGAAGTCGGACAACCTGGAGAGAAGCCACACAAAGAAGGGAAGGTAAAACAACAGGGTCATTGTTTAGTGACTACTTAACAAGGACATACGGCTTGACTCCACCTCCTCAGCTGTACTGCTGCTCTGCTACATGTGCTGCAGACCGAGATCCTGAGACCGTTTGAAGAACTATGCGATGACACAACTGTTAAATTACGTCCTCATTAGTTCTGTTAAAAAATTTACTCGGCTAAATCTGTGAGAGGACAGCATCAAAAAGCTACTTCCAGCTGCTCTCTTGTCACAAGGGGCCGCTCATTAAGTTGAATTTTACACTAGATGTTCTTCCTAACTCAGCCTCAATGGGAATTTGTAGAATTGAACCAGCAACTTTTTATTTGCAAAGCAAGATGAGCCAGTTATATTGTCCCATATATAAGTCTGATATATGGATGTGGTACCTGCTGCATCAGCTTTCCTTGATAAATTACACTGGAACAACTGTCTGCTGCTTATCTTCATCCAGATTATAACAGATGTGGACACTGATGGTAATTGCTTATGTCTTGTGGAGATAGAAGCACTGGTTAACTGATTTAGCCTCCATCTTTTGCTGTCCACCTCCACCGCTCATCTACATTCATACTGCTGACCACTTTATACTAGATTCAGCTTTAGTCATACTGCACGGATACGTTTCGAATTTGATATAAGAAAATCTGTTGACTTGTTGCATCTCATCTGTGTGTAGGTATGTGTTTAGAAGTGCCGGTGAATTTGCTACCTAGAGAGCAAAACAAAAAGACACGGATGTCATTGATAGAGAGATGTGATGGATTAGAGTGGCCCAAGGGGGAAGTCCCGCTCCATCAACATGTAATGAAAACTAATTTGAAAACAGCAGGCAGCGATGAATAACTCTAAGATGAGTTCTGGTAACATTGTCTTCAATGAGAGGTCATTATTGTCTCATATATGGGAAAAATTGGTTGATAACATTACGATTGATGATAGAACATTAGTTGTTGTCTTCAGGAGTTATGGCTGTCTGTAAGTAGGTCTGACTGGAAATCGATCAAGGGCAGAAACAATTTTACACCAAGTTTGTAATCCACCGTTCCACCATCAGATGCAACAGATGAAATGATGCGTGCTGGACAAAAGAAAAGGGCTGTAATACCATACATTTCTGCAATCTCTTAAATTTAAATTCTCTGGGGGGAAAAATAAAAGTTGAGCAAGGAAAGGCTTGGTAACAAGGTAAACATGCAAAAGCTCAAAACATTATTTTCTCATTTCTTTTCTGTCTACCTTTGCAAGGTCCTGGATAGTCTAACGCAGCTGAGCTAAAATACCAGAGGGAAGAAAGTCAAATGGATTGTGATTATTGTCCTGGAACAGATTGAACAGGCTGTGGGAGAAGAATGTGAGCTGAATCCCATTTCAACACACAAGCCCAGGTGCATTTCTTTTACTGAGAGGAAGGTGAAACTCACAAAAGGGATCTAAAGAAAGCATTTAGGTGGTAATACCGGGTGTAATCTAACCACTTATCAACAGTAGTTTATCACTTTTTTTTCTGCAGCAAAAGAAAAACATTTTGCAAAGAACGGAGATGGTTTCAAATAAGTTGCCTAGATTTTAACTGCTGCTCTGTGTTAGTTAGATTAATTTAGATGTCAGACCTACACTTAACTTTATTTAATCTTATGCAAGATACAATTTACGGGCATTCAAGGCAAAGAAATCGTGTAGCAGACAAGAAGAGCCTGGGCAGTATTAAACACATCTACAGTTATCTGCCATGTGTTGTATTGTGCATTGCAAAAAGATGGCACAAGGGTCTAAAACTCCTTGATTTTTTTTTTCTTTCTTTCTTTTTATTTTGCTTTTTCTATGCAAATCCTGTCATTTTCTAGTCTTAGCCAGTCCTTGTCATTTTAACCTTCCTACAGAGAAAGACAAGTGCAGAAAATTAGGAATATACCGCAGCATGACAGAAAACCAGAGAAGCAAAGCAACACCATGCTGGAATGACAAAAAAAAAAATCACCTCGAAAGAGAAACTGCGATGAACGCATCACTGAAACCTTTCAAAACATGTGAATCATCTGCTCCGAAATGGAAATAAGTAATCTGTGGGGAGTTACAGCTTCCTGTCATTCAACAGGAAACCTCCACTCCCCACCGAGCAGCTAGGATTATCCTCTGCGCCTCACAGTTCTGGTTCAAATTCACAGCCTGCATCAGCTGTCAAGACATGTAATAAAATGTGTGTGTCTGTGTGTGCTGAGGGTTGCCTGTGCCAGGTCTTGCTTCCAGTAAGTACAGTATATTTGATTTGAAAATGTATTACATCCAAAACTGTGCGATTCCTCTAAGTCTGTTGTTTTAGGGGAAGATTACCAAAGTCACTACTTCTTTCTTTTTTTTTTAATGTCAGGCTGCGGGTCTTATAACAATGCTGACTGGACACCTTCGGACAGTGAAGTACTCTGAGCCAGCTGGTGAGGAGGCTCTAGTCCAACAGTGCTGCTTTCAGCTCTGCCATGGCTGAGAGGTACCATATGTCTCCTCTCTCAGGAGTCCGTCCCAGGCTACTATTGCCAAGCCGTTAAGGCCTATCCCACATATGTGCCATAATACTGTTAAGTACTAATAAGTCCTCAAGTGGTTAAGGCACTGCTGCAATTCAGATTGTGAACCCTTGTCTGTATCTGCATTTGGGCTTATGAACAATAGAGAAATGACCACAGGGAGGTTCACTGGGTGGTGGTATTCCCCAATGACCTACACCTTCCTAAGACAGGTGAGTTTGCTTCCTCATGAAAATGAACTTAATCAGATAATCTCAGCTAACATCAGACTGCATTTGAAACACAATATGGAAACCATGTTGCTCTTTAAATGAGCCAATCATTTTTGTAACTTTAGCAAAGTGAGCAAACCCGAAACTTTCTAGGGGCAATTAAAGTAGGTCTTTCAAGTATTAATTTTCAACCTGTTATAAAAGAAGAGGTCCTATTTGCCTCTATCACCATGATTCCTTTAGTTTAAAACCCTGATACTTACGGCACTGTGACACTGGAGGCTAAAATAAGTGTGAAGTAAATAAAAAATATTTTCCAAAATCACAGTAAAAGGTTTTGCACACCTTTCATATTTAAAACACAAGACAAGTAGCTTCGTTCCGCTTATCGTTGCCATAGGAATAGTTTAACCAATCAGAGGCGACATAGTAGGGCCAGTTAAAAAGAGTAGCCAATCAGAGAGTCTGTTGTTTAAGAGCCAGGCTGTTTGAAACGGCAAAGCAAGCCCAAGCACCTTTCAACTGACGACTTGTGAAACGGGCAAGCGTGGTACTTTTTATGGTTATATAAAATAGTTAAGTTTCCGAAAAGCGGCGCTACTTACAGAGGTAGATATACTCACTTCAAGTAGTTTAGTTTTTTTTTTATGAGCAGCTGTATTTCTGTCTCCACTTGTCCATTTCTGTTTTAGCTTTAGCTCTGATTTATTTAGCTAACGATGTTTGTTTAACTCGATCAATTAATGCGCCTGTAAATGAGTAAAATATAGAAAAATGTAAAGTTTTTTAAGCGTACAGATAAGCATATTCGTGGATTTCTTTGTGCATGAGGAAGTTTTCTGTTTACTCTGTGTGTACCTTCATTAGTTTGTAATGTAGAAACTAGCGTTTGGGCTAAAGAAACTTTAATACTTATTTCAAGCTACAGCTGAAGCCTTCTGTTTAAGTTTCTTTTATAAATCAAACGCATCCGAATATGTTTTATGTCCATGTACGGTTTGCAAAACAAACAAAAGAGTACCAACGACTATCAATAGCTGTCAAAGATAACGGTGGTGGCCATAGCTGAAATTAAAATAAATACTATATAGTAACATACCAAAGTAGGTCCCGTCCGTATGGCCAGTTATTGATAGCTCATGCTGTGTTATTAAACTAGCACTATGACACTGTATATCTCTGTGTTTAGATGTCCTCAGACGAAGAAGAACCAACCAGTCCTGTTCTCCCCAAAGACTCGGACCGGGGCAGCTCCGTGTCCTCTGAGCTTCAGGTGAAAATGTGCTTTTATTTACACTCATAATTCTATGGAACCATGTTTCCACCACTGGAAAACTATTATTTATTAAATACTCATCTATTTTGTTTTTGTATTAAATGGTAAAAGGACAGATTGTCTAGAAGCTGCTCTGAAAAGGTTTGGATATTAAATTCAACATTTTACACGATTGGTGATTCAGTTTGCTGTTGTCTGAGTCCAACCATTTGAATTAGTCTGCCAACCAAAATCGTGTGTGATATCAGCTTGCTTGAACTAGAACCTTGTGTGAAAGTAGTTTTGCTGTGTTGCAAGTCCAAATGGACTCTGTTAGGTTGAGCAAAGCTTTACATAACATGGTCTTAGCATCACTAGGTGTCAAAATAGAAGAGTCACACTAAAATGTTGTAACCAAAATAAACTGACTTGAAACAATACACAGAAAAATACAAACTGTAATATGCTTCAATTGATATTTGACCACCTTGTTCTTTGTTATTGTTTATCAATTAACAGGATGAGTATGAGGAGCTCCTCCGTTATGCTGTTATCACCCCTAAATTTGACGCGCTTGGCGTTCAGTTGAAGCAGCAGAGCACCTCGCATCTGTCTGCAGCGGGTGGAAATAAAGATGGCACAAAGTTTCAACGTGTACCAGGTATGGTGGCTTCCTCCTGTATGAAGAACACTTTCATACACATGTCTGTGTAGGTTCACAGTCATCTAGGTCATCTTAGTCTAGAGAGCTTAGAAAAAGAGGCAACAAAACAAAACAGACACACAGTTCACCGGGACTGGCTGACTGAAACTGAATATGAGCCCTTCCAGACACTGTCTGCATCAAATGATCGTCTGTCAGAAAGGATTTGGCATCAAAATATGGAGAAAATGTGTGTGTGTGTGTGTATTCATCAGCTTTATATTTTCATCTTTTAAACCAGTGTAAAAGGCTAGATATCAGTCTGTCACATTGTACCCCCTATCTCTTTCCCCTGCAATACCCACATCTTAAACACTCCATCAGTTTCCTCCCCTGTTGTTACTCTCATCTGAGGTTTAGTGCTTTAACTGTCACGGAGTAGTGCACGAGGATGTAGAAAGCAGAGGGGCCAATTGGTAATGATCTCCTGGCACTCTGCCCGTACTGCTCTTTAGAGTGCAGGCTTTCTCTTCTCCCTCCCTGCAGAATTTAATTAAGATATTGACATAAATGCTTTCTTGGACAAGGAGCCACACTCATCTTATTTACCACTCTCACCTTCACATTTTCTGCTCTTAAGCTGTTTTTTGTTTTCTGACTTTTTTGGATTACATTTTTTAAATCAATCATTTTAATCTATCTTTAGCCACATTTATCTATTCCTCTACCTGCTCACTGTAACTCCTGTATCTTCTTTCAGATTCTGCCATTGAAGCTAAGGATGGGCGGCACTCTAGCAGGAGCCTGAGATCGTCACAGGCCTCCCCCTTGATTGTTGGGCCACACTCGACACACTCAAGAGCCTCTCGTGGTAAAATAATTGTAAAATTTCAGAGAAACAAAATACTTATTATGTGTAACTGTCATAATACTGTTTCATATTCTCAGCCATAGTCTGCCTGTCTGTCTGCGGTTGTGCTTTTTTTTTTTTTCCCACTCCAGCTGAGAAGATGGCAGGTCATTTGTCTAGCAGGGCGTCACTGCTCTCAGATAATCCCTCAGAGAGGTTACAGGTGGCATCTGAGAGGTCCAGGCCAGATACCCCAGAACCCTTTGAGTTTGTTGTGACAGAGATGTTTATTTCAGAGGAGAACATAAACAAGATGGAGAACATTCTGGACACGTGGAGCAACAACCTGAAGGTTAGTCTGCTTCCACACAGTGTACAACTGTCCTTCACAGCCGCTCGGTTTCTCCTGTGGGCTTTTACATAGCAGCAAACAGCATTGATGCATAGATAGTTTCTGGCATTTTTGATCATAATGATATTTTTCACACTCTTCTTTCTCTGCCATTGTCATTAGAAAGTTATACTATGCCTGTGGTCAGATTAGAGATTATATAGAGGGAATGTGTCTGAGCCTCAGGATGACTTTTTGAAAAGGATGACACCTCGCTGCTCTTCATGGAACCGTTGACCTTTTAACTGTGTTTCCTGGAGACATTATTCTAAAGGAAATGGGTGTCTCCACGTGGGTGTCCATCCTGCCCTTTTCCTCTGATTTTGTACAGCTCATTCATGGAGAGCAGATGACAGCCAATCACCTGCTAAGCTGTGCAAAGCTTAATCTAAGAAAAAAGCAGTACCAGCCAGAAGGAGAAGGAGATGTGGGTTAAATAGTACACTCGTGTGTTGAGGGAGGGGTTTGAAAGTTCTTCTAAACCTGGAACTACACATCAGAACTGTAAAATAATACATCTCTGGTGGAAAACTCTTACACTCTGTGCAGTAGCATAAATCTGGCTTAAGTTTGCTGGACTTCAGATGTCAAGAACTGAGTCCAGCAAAAGAAAACTTAGAGATGAATTCTTCAAGATTTCTGTGTTGTGCAGTTGCATCTGTCTGGCACACCTGTTCATGTAATTTAAAAGCAACTACAGATATTTGTACAGATGCTCATGTTTGCTAAAGTAGAGTAATGAACACATTGTGACAGCCCAACCCTCTATTCCCTAATTAGTCAAATGTGCTGACGGAGCTACGGAAGTGGAAGTTGGCCTTCGTTGAGCAACACAAGCTGGAGATGATGAAGGAGAGGGAGAGGCATGCAGCCCAGACAGCTGGCCTGAAGTCAGAGCTAGATAGCCTTAAACAGCTATTACAAACCTATGAAACCTCCAACCAAAGGAAAGATGAGGTGACTACACGTCTGTTTATTTGCTTTATCTAGTAAATCATTTAGCTGTTTGTTATCAGGTAATTTGCAGAATAATTTGTCATTTATTTAATCACCTGTTGTTGTTTTTTGTTTGTTTTTTTTGTTTTTTGTTTTTTGTCAACAAAACACGAAAAAACTGTAAAAACACCCATTACAAAATCATGGACTCCAAGCTGACATCAACTAATGTCTCGTGTCTCTAGGAGACTAGAGTGCAAAAATATTATATTTAGTGCAATGAAAGGCAAAAAAAAGACTTTTACATTTAAGGTCCTCATATCAGTGTTTTGTTAGGCCCCTATATACGTCTTTATTAATTAATTTGCACATTATTCCTTGCATGCCTGTGTAAAAACAAACAAAAATTTTAAAAAAAAATTAAAAATTCAAGAAGCACTCTACTTCCTTCCTTTTTTTTAAACCAATGGGCTTGTTTTGTGGACTCTTTCAGGTTATCGGGAACCTGAGCCAAGTACTGGACAGACAGAAAGAAAAGCTTGAGAAGATGAGGGCCTTCACCCACTGGAGACTCCAGCACATCGAGGCCAAAGAAGAGGTATGGTGTTTAAGAAGATTTCAAAACCTTTTGACATGATATTTTAGAAGTTGCTTGTGACATTAGAAATGCTCATCAAATAGTAAAACCCATCTCTACCTTTAAATTGTCAGAGTAACAGAGATTTTTGCTACGTCCAAACTACTGGTTTACTAAATTTTGTGCTCCCCCCCCCATGTTGCTGTTTTTTCAATGTGAACTTTCATACAAGTGTTGGTGATTTACTTAACTCATCGGGTAATGCCATTCCTTAAAAATGACCAATTCATATTTTTGTATAAACCACGACATAAAATTCATGACGAGAACGAATGCAGCTGCACAGGAGTGACTTATAGACGTAATTATTGCCTTGTAAATATTACAAATCACAGCCCTGTGGTTCCCCGCCAGGCTCGTTCTTCTCAGGTGGCACAGCAGCACTACAATTTGCAGCTGAAGAAGAAGGTGTGGTTTGCCTGGCAGTCTCTGATCCAGAAACACTGGAAAGTCAAGGTGGAGAGAGCTTGCCGTTCAAGGGCTGAAGAGGTCTGCTCCCAGATGTCTGTGGAGTATGAGGCTAAGCTAGCAGAGGTCAGTACATGTGGGACAGTGTGTCTAAGATGAGGCTGTAATGCTCACTTTAAACTGAAACTCTCTGCATTTAAGTAAATGAGCATCCCACTTTTGTTAGTATATCATGGTAAATGGACTGGTTTTCAGCTCTGTTTGAGCACTGAGTGCTATCTTACTACAAGCCACATTCACTCTTACAGACACATTCATACAAGCAGTTTTTTCTATGCCTAAACACTTTCGTCCTGACATTCAAACACTTACACGGATGCATCAGGTTCTGCTGAGTAGGGGATTGAACCATCAACTTTCAGATCATTATATAACCCACTCAGTGTTGGGAAGGTTACTTTTAAAATGTATTCCACTACAGATTACAGAATACATGCCCCAAAAGCGTATTTTGTAATGTATTCCGTTACGTTACTCAATGACAGTAACGTATTCTGAATACTTTGGATAACTTAATAATATTATCATGCTTTTTACAACTACATGACTGTACTATTACTGTGTGATTTATTACTGTTACTGAAATACCAATACCAACTAGATTTTTAAATCTTATTATAAAATGAGTAACAGTAGGGTGGACAGTAGGTAAGGCTGCACTTTTTGCAGCGATCTTGTATAGAAAACTATTTTGTGTGTATCTAAAACAGGTCTGTGGCTCCGAACCGTAGTAAAGGGACCTCTGGCTAATATGTCGGGTTCCATGTCGGACTCGTAGCCGAAAACTAGCTTTACTTTGTTGTCTGAGTCAACGTTTCTAGCGAGAGACAGAGAAAGGCGTTGAAAGGCTGCTCCAACGGAACTTATTGTTTCGGAGGAAAACACGAACACAGTGTACAGTCGAGTCTTAATAGCTCACAACTGGGCTCGTCAGGCACTCTTTTTGGCTGCAGTGGTTATTATTATATTTGCATGCTTCCAGCTCCCGTTTCGGGTCGGTTGCAACTCGTACTTTTCAACTCTTTTTCTCCCTCCCTCGCGCTCACAGACACATAACGGGTATGGCGGTCCATTCTCCCTGCAGCACGGACTACACTGCCCATGAGGCTACATTCTTTAGGGCGATGACTGTAACACTCTGCCTATTGCCTTCATATTAAATCATTTTTGTGAATAATTTTAAAAAATATTTCTTCACCTCGTTATGCGGGCCACAAGTAGAGGTGACATGGGCCACGAGATTGAGACACAGGCATTGGAGCCTCTTAATGCGTGTTTTCTTTGGGTTTCCACCAGCGTGGAATTACCAAAAATAGAGAGCATAGCCTAACATATGAAACAAGAAAAGACCGCCGTGTAATCCATTTATTTCAATATCACCTTTTTAAACGGTAACTGTAATGGATTACAGTTACTCATGTTTTGTATTTTAAATACATAACGCTGGTGCATGTATTCCGTTACTCCCCAACACTGAACCCACTCTACCACCTTAATTACTGTGAATTACTTCTGTGTGCTCTCCAAATCACTGTAGAGCCCGTGCCGATGGTGAAACCAAAAATACATCCTACATAGGGCTTCATGTTTTCGTGTTTTTATTAGGCTGTAACATAATAAATCAGGTTTTTTTTGTTTTTTTTTAATGCACATCCTTGTGTTTTTCTTCTTTTTAAAAAATAATTATATAGAAAGATAATTCGACAATTCTTTCTATCCTTTGCTACCTGTGTGCACAGCACTGTGAGGCTATAGAGCGGGCACAGGCGGAGATTCAGAGACTACGATTAGAGCGAGAGCGATATGAAGAATCCATGAAGAAAGCCTTCATGAGGGGTGTATGTGCTCTCAACATGGAGGCGCTCAGCATGTTTCACTCTACAGAAGGACGAGCAGAACAACCTCCAGCTCATGATCAGCATGGTTTGTAGTAAATTTGTGGCCTGTGGAGAAAAACATTTATCTTCGTAGAAATGTAGCACACTAAAGCATGTACTGCTAGGATGATATATAGACTGATGCTCTATACAATGTACCGTGGTTGCATCGTGGGCCTTGCCTCTGCGGTGTATTGATTTAGCGCAGTTTTGGAGATTGAAACAAAAAGACAAGATGGAAACAGCATTTTTCCAATAGAGTGCAGCCATGTGCTATTGACGTTTGTTAAGATTTATGATTGAGAGGAGGGAATGGGGTCTTTGCACTTTACTTGAAAGTCTCATTTAATGAAGTTAAATCTGTGAATATGCTCAGCACTGCGCAAAAGGTACTTTGCACAGGTTGGCAAGCTTAATGTGGCAATGAAAAATTGGTTGATAAAATTTAAAACCCTTTTGAACCATGTTAAGAATCATGTAATGAATGAATGAATGTTAGTTAGTTGTATGTAAATGCTGGGAAGATTGGATTAAGAGCTTTGGACTATTACCTGACACTTCAGTAGAAAACCTTAAACTCGGACCAGCGGTGTTTAAAATACTAGCATCATATGATTATCACCAAGATGTCCCACTGGCATGAGTTGGGAAAAATATCTCATCATTATATTTACACCACCTGTCGTCAGATTTGTTGTCTGAATCTGTTTTTGTTTTTTGTTGATACCATGGCTGCTGGACTTGGATCTTACTATCTTTAGCATGTAGAAATGAAGCCTAGCATGGGCATCTGCTCATCCATCTGCTTTCAGGTTTAATGAGTCTTCCAAACTGAAATGTATGTTAATACGATGCTGTCAGCCAGGGCGGTTAATTGATTACCCTTTCCTGTTGCTTTAAAAATGAGCACTTTTTTTTTCCCCTTTGGATTTTTTTTTTAAACTGCACATATTTATATATTTTATACTTTATAGGACTTTTGCAGAAGTTATGAATCCCCAGCTCCTGCTACACCTGTGGTTTAAAATGGGTACTTTATGTGTCATCTGACAAGCAAGAGATCATTGAAATATTCCAATTCAAATACAAACTCAGGATTTCCAGTTTAAAGGGGGATTTTTGTGTAACTACAATAAAAATGAGTTATTACTGAGTCCTAATGACTCAATGAAGGTTTCTTTTTGTGTCGTAGTTCCTCTGCCTGGTGAGGATGAGCGTGGCTCCTCTGCCATGGCTCAGCTCCAGCCATATGCCACCTCTTCCACACAGTTCAGTCCAGTCCATTTTGACCACCCAGGCCCGTCGCACAGTGAAGCAGATGATGTGGCAAGTCACTGTTAATTTATAATGAAAACACACCATAGTACAGTGTCTTTCCAAATCACTCGTGGTTCTTGAAATTTATTTATTGAATGTTAAGCATGTCCTTTCACGTGGATCATTTTGTTCTTTTGATTATTTATTACTTTATGTCACAGACAATTCTGGCTTCACATATAAATCATGTGATTGCCCTAAAAAAGAAAAATTTGTAGAGCAGTCTTGAATTTCCTTTGTTATACTTTTTGTTTAAATTAGATGCACTATGACTAACTTCCTCTAAATCCCAAATCCTGATCCTGTGTTCACTTGTTGCCTTTATTTGTAGATGGGCTCTGGTGCCCCCATGTCCCAAGAAGAAGCACTCCCTCCCACTACAGTGGTGCACAGCTCACTCCCTCTTGGGGGAATTGCAAGTTCCCACAAAAAGGTTAGTGTCAGACATATAGAGACAAACTACCAACAGCAGCTGAATCTATGTCCTGCTTTGTTGTCTGTACTGTGCCATCTAAAGCTCTTCATCAAAAATCACATTTGTATATAACACTAAAAATATTGCTTGTTTTAGGTAGGTACTCGTGTCGTCACAGCAAGTCAACAAAAATCCTCAAAGACTGTAACGGCTCGTGTCACTGCGCGCCATGAGATCAGTAAGGTGGGACGTAGCAGCCTGCAGGTGATGGGAGTGGCTCCACCCATGAGCTCTGTGGTAGTCGAACGGCATCATCCTGTTACGCAGGTATGTGATGTGATGCATCGATACTGTTCCTTTATGAGTCTTGCAGTCATATACTTATGAATCTTTGCACAGTTTTAGCTTCAAGGTCATGTTGTTGCGTATCTCGGACCACATCTAGCACAGCTCTTGCTTTTAGACTGCTCCCTCTAGGGTTTTCAAGTGACTTTGCACTTAAACCCTACACTTAAATTTGTATTATTTTTCACATCAGCTGGTTTCTCCAGGACCTTATAGTTGATGTCTGCATTGATAATCTGACTCTCGAGGACTCACCAGAGCACCAAAGTTTTATACTGGAAACTGCAGTTTGGTCTTTGGGTTTTACCCAAACTCTTATCACCAATAAAAATTCTGTCACCTTGAAACAAAAGTTGATGTTTTGGGTGTTTTTTTTGGTCAGTGGGGAAATCTCAGTTCCCAGTGCAAATGGTGATAATCGGACTGACCTTAAAAAAATAAAATCAGGTATGCTGGAAGCAGTCCAGGGGTGCATGAGAAGATGCCTACATCATAGGAATTAAAACAACAGACTTTAATATTTTTGTGCTGTTTGATTTTTGTTTTTCTATAAGCAAAATCACTTAACTTTATAAAGGTACCCTTTATTTTTCACGTTGTTCAAATGCAACTTTGTTTATGTAAATTAGAAAAGCAATTTAAACTTTTTTTTTGTTTGTTTGTTTTTTGCTTTCTTTTAGCTCACCATTGGGCAAGCCACAGCTGCTAAATTTCCAAGCTCCTCCCAAAAGGGCCACATGTCCACTGCAGGCAGAGCCTCCTCCAGAACGCACAGCAGCACCTGTCACACACACTCCATCAAAGTAGTTGACTGATGACACGCACATATGTCAAAGATCTTCCTTAAGACCAGCTATGCAAAAATCCAAATTGATGGAATTTTCTGTCTTGATATGAAGTATAAGTGTATGTATGTATATATATATATATATATATATATATATATATATATATATATATATTATTACAGATGGAACAAAAGTTCAGAGAATTCCAAAATGAACATTTATTACTTTGCTTTAAATTGTGCACAGATAACTGTGTACTGAAGTGTACTGCAAGGCGACCATCCAACAGCACATGTTGTTTACTTGACGAAACCAAAGCTATATGCTAATTGTGTGACGCACAACGTTATTTTTAAAATAAATTATTTCACTGCAGTAGTCCTGTAGAGATGCTTCGTTGACAGTGCGAACATTGTAAATACTGCAGTGTTCCTCTTCATGAAATGGTACATCTTTTACTGCTGACTTGCTCTGCCTCCAGTCGAATCTTATCTGAAAGACGAACATTTGATGAAGTAAAACTTTGGAACAGGCGGTGCAGAAGACATAAATTTCTGTTTATCGCATACTTGTTAACAGAGTGTACCTGCAGTTTTCGTGTTCCCAGTGCAGATGAGGCCCTGGTAGAGGTCTTTAGCAGGGGCCTTCAGAGCCAGCTCCTCCCCATGAAGCCAGATCAGCAGCATTCTGTTCCCATGCTCTTGATAGCTGTGCTGACCTGCAGGTAAACGCACAACCCTTTAAGTTCAGAAAAAAAGGTCAACCTGCAAAAAAATACCCTAAAGATACCAAATTACAACTTGGAAAATAAGCTGTAAAAATTTCAATGTCATACTGGGATATTCATTTTTTTACCTAAGATTTCAGGGTATTTAATTAATGTGTTTGACTCAAGAAGGTTAAGTTAGATTTTCAGAGGGTTGCCAAATGCACAGCAGAAACCTGCCCTGTCAGTGTGTGAGTTATGGCACCTGTCCACTGCTCCTCGATGGCAGACACTTGGTCCTGAGTAAAGTCCCAGTGTGTTGCCAGTCTTTTCCAGTCTCCTGGTTTCAGCAGCTTGTACGCCAGGCGCCAAGCCATCGAATACAGCTCCTTGTTCTCACTGCGGCGGTCAAATTTGAACGTCAGTGCATGCTCGGTGCGAACAATCTCATTAAGCTCAGGGTTAGCCTGAAAGGGCAATTAAATCATGTCAGCAGGCTGATAAAGGCCACACTCTCCAGACAACAGAGGGGCACAGGAAGAAAATTTTGGCAAGACACTAACACGTATGATTAGCAATATAAATGTCAGAGTGAAACATTTTGAAAATCAATAATGGAGGAGAATAAGGCATATTCTTAATTAAACTGATGATAAATCGTATGTCGAATGTTTCTGGGCTCCGAATCACTTTTACAGTGAATGCTTTAATAGAATTAGAGGGGATTCAGCTAATCGAGGATGTGACACTGAATCATTCATGGTGAAAGTAATTATTGATTTCAAAGCATCGCGAATGGATTATGCTCGTGAAAGTTACAAGTATCATTTGATTATCCCCTCACCTTTTTCTGGTCATAGTATCGTTCTGCTTTGATGATCATGTCCACAATGTTTACCTCATCTGCTCTGGCTGCAACACCCAGAGCAGTCTTACCCTGCTACTCCGAATCCAGCATGTACAGTGAAAAACAAATTCAATTAGAACCGCAAGAGATTGCATTTAGTTTGATTTTTCTTGTATTTTCAATGTATCATGCTGCGACAAAGGCTTACATTAATTATCATTTTTTTGCTGTTTGGATAGCATTAGTATACAGTTTAATTTTATTAATATGACAAATGCATCTTACCCGGTCCTTGACTGTTATATCAGGCCCAGCTTTAAGAAGCATTTCCACAACCTCAGCTTTGGCAGTCTCAGCAGCAATGTGCATAGCTGTCTGGGACCTCTAACAGTCCAAAGCATGACACGACATAACGATACGCAGGAATTAGTTTGTCTACATTATGTTCATGGATGCTTTATTTTACTGTCTTAGGCAGGAGCTTGTACCTTATCTGTGGCATTGATATTGCAGCCAGCCTCCAATAGGTAGTAGATAACAGGGATGTGACTGTTCTTCACTGCCAGGTGGAGAGGTGTCTCTAGATCCTGAGAGCAATAATATTATGCTTCATAAAAGATGGATTACTCTGCCACTGCCTCCTATCTGGTTGTTTACTTACCTGATTTTGAAAGTCCGCCTGGGCATTGTACTGTAAGAGAACTTGAACAAGAGCCGCGTCTCCTTTTTCTGCAACTGTATGGAGAGCGCTGCATTTGGCCTACAAAGAGTACAAAGTGAGTGCAGTTGTACTGTCTAGAAGAATCTTTAAAAACTGATTTTGTTTATAACATATTTTTCAGGATAAACACCATAATGCATATTATATTAGTAGTACGGTTAAAAGCAGAACAGTAGAAAAGGTATTTAGTCATTTGAATCTACACAGTACCAAAAAACGCCAAGAAAATACACCGGTACACAAACAAAAGTTACCAAAGAAAACACATGATTTTCTGAACTTGCATGTTATGAACATTGATTACTGTAAGTATTTGATGTGTGTATTTTTCTCTTAGCTTGCACTGGTTCAGTAAAACTTGGCCGGGTATACTGCCTGAACGTACCACTGTGAGTATGTTAGGGTCACAACCGGCCTCCAGCAGGACCTGAGCACATTCTTCCTGACCGTGGTCTGCAGCCTGGTACAGAGCAGTCTCACCATCCTGCAGCACAAAACATCCGTCAGCAATGATGCAAATGGAAAATTCTTCTAACATAATTAACATTTTAAGTTATTATCATCATTTTTATTATTATTAGTTATAACAAAGTAGAATTTCTTTACACTAAGGGAACGTTGGCTTGGATCATTCAATTAAATGCCAGCAAATAAATTAGTTACTGCAGATCTTTTGGGGGGTAAGGTTTTGTAATTATCTCTTACTTTAATGCATCATTAAGCCACATCAGTACTAATACAAAGGAACACATTTATCGTGTTCAGTTTACCTGTTACCTGCCAAAGTTCGATCCAGAAAGCTAAATGTGTCATTATACTAACTGGTAGATGTTTGATTCATCTCAATTGATCCCAAGTGGAGCCAGCATCCAGCAGTGGATTAGCCGCTGAGCTCACACTGTCACAAACCAAACCGTGATAGAGAGGATGTTTGCACTGATTGTCTACCATATTGACTTCATCCCGAGTATCAAAGCTCTGCAGCAGCAGTTGGACGACATCCAAGTGGCCGTTCCTGGCAGCTAAGTGCAGGGGCGTGTCCCCTCTCTGGCAGAAGGGAGGGAGGGAAACAGCTTGCATCAAAGAGTGTTTGACTTTGAGCTTTCTTGCAGGTGTGACACTGAAATGTGCACTCAAGGCACACGTGAGCATAAACAGCCATATAGCCTACTCGGAAATAGATGCAGAAAAATCGCACAAATAAGTCCTCGTGCACACCTTGTTGGGCTTCATGGTGGCCATGTTGTATGGCTCCATGAGCACCTGTAACATCTTAACACACCCGTGCTCTGCTGCCAGTGCAAATGCTCGGTGTCCTGACTGAAACACAAGAAAAGAGGCTCAGGTAATCGCATGTAGTGCATGCAAAATGAAATTTGCCACACAATTGTTTTGTGCAAGTTGCATACCAGGTCATCCTTGTCAAGTTCTTTCATCTGCAGGTCATTTACAATGTAGTCTACGATTTCAGTATGGTTGTTGATGGCAGCACAGTGCAAAATATTGAGTCCTTCCTGAAACAAAGAAATAACTTTTTCTGTTAAATCAGGCAGGGCGCTGTTTGAGAATTTACAATGCAAACCAAATTCATCTTGAACCGTATTTGAAAATGGAAAGCCAGAGTGTAAAAGATACAGTATAACGAAAGCAAAAATGGACAAACTACAACGTGTAGCTTGTGGTTTAATTTCCTTGAAATTTAGCGCACTTGAAAACTTACAAACAGGTGCGAGAGAACAAGAGGGTATATTTAAAATTAAACAAATTATACTTAAATTCGAACGTCGAAATGCTTTATGGTTATAGCATTGTCAGAAATATGTGCCACTAAACATTACATTTTAGTTATTTATAATTTGATGTGAATTTTTCAACTCATATAATTACATATGGATGTGAATTACACAGATTAAGCTTAAATGTATTTGTGAAACTGAATTTCGAAACTTTACAAAATTAAAATTAATCAAAACTTCACACCATATTACTTTTATTACTTTTCGTTTCTCAGAACTAAAATCCAGTTCTCATAACTCAAACTCAGTTTTTGCAATTCAAATTCAGTTTTCTGGGAGAAGCATCAGGGTTTCTGAGGAAGGGCAGCCGACCACAGATTCACACACAAACTCTTCAAGCAGTCGGGGCAATATTAGGATGTTAGGCTACTCAATAATATTGTTTGACATTACCAAGGTTATTATAAACATATTACAAAACTAGATGGGGGGGGCGCTAACTACTGAGTCAACTGCTTTCAAAATTCTTTTGTTTTTATTGTAATACCTGTACTGATTTTCCTGAAACAAATGCAAAATAAACATTTTAGCCAATACAGAACTGGAATGTAACTTTAGACGTTACTATTTAAAATTGCTTAGAGGATACATTTTGTCCTGTCTTTTTAAAATGCTCTGAATTGACCAACTGCTTTCAAATATTTACAGTATAGTTGCACAGTAAACTCAGAAAAAGTATATAGTACTTTAAGGGGTATTACAGGAGATGTTGCAGGCTATATTATTAAGTGTTACTGAAAATTAAAAGTTTAAATAGTATAGATAATAAAATATCTGAATCGCAGTGTGTTGTTTTGAGAGGGTGTTTGTGCAAAATCTAAAAGGAAAACAAAAACCCCCCCAATGGGATTCATTTCTCAGTTTAAGGGTATTTCATCTCTGTTGGTTAGTGAGAAGCAATAGAGGAGAATTCTTCCTTCTACTTCACCTCGTTTTCAGCCTTCTGTTCTGCTCCAGCCTGCACTAATAATTTCAGGATGTCCAAACTGCCAAACCAGGCAGCCAAATGAATGGGTGCTACGCCGTACTGTCAGACACAGAACACAAAATGGTAGTAGCCGACTTGGAGACATTACATAACATATTGTCCTTGGCTCAAATCCTCGCATCTAACATCTTAAAATCCTCCCACCTTGTCCTTTTGGTCCACTTTGACCCTTCGCTGTAACAGCAGCTTAACAGCTTCTTTGTTTGTGCAAGCTACTGCAAAGTGAAGGGCAGTCCTATTTTGCTGAGGAAGACAAAATAATCAACATGTTATCAGTTTAATGAAAGTTTATTCAGTGACTGGGTCTGTTTGGCTAATGCAGATACTTTATCTTTTCAGACGCACCACATTCTTTACGTTGGCATTTAACCCTTTTCCAAGATCCGTCATGGTCTCCACATCGTTCCTCTTAGCTGCTTCGATAAACTCCTTCTCAGCCTCAAGCACTACATAACACAGTAGACAAGCCTTAATACATGGCTTTTTTCATACATAATTAATTGTGTTAATACATATTAGACAGCAGGATTATATCACAACATAGAGTAAAGTGAACTAAGATGGTGAGATTTTCAACATTACTACCGACACACCCACATAGCAAATACAGTGTTTTTCCTTGGAAGGAAACTGTCACACCTCACTTCAGTGACAAACATTAGAAACTCAAGTGCTCGGTTCTTGAATCTGCTACATTTACTACACTTTCTATGTCTTTTCTGTCATATAAAGCACAAAAAGCTTGTTTATTCTTTTTACGTTTTTTTTTTTCTCTTGGATACTCACACATCTCTACGTCATCAAAACTGTTGTCCGTCTCTTTGTTTGAATGCTTGTTCAGAGCAAAGTCACTGAATCCCCTCACAGTCTCTGGTCTTATCCACTTTCGAGGGTCCAGATTCTCCTTTTTAGGAGAATGTTTCTCAATCATCCTCTTCAGAGCCATAGCTTTTTTTTCCATTTGGAGGCTCTTACAACAAAGCCACACTTTGTGTATTAAACAGTATAGGTTATATCCTGAAAACAGTCTACCTCAGTTCCAGAGGAAAAAGATCGCACACTCGTAAAGAAAGCCAGTGTTATCCAATTTCAAAGTTCTGATCTTCATAGAGCCAAGAGCGAGGAAGTGTATGGTAGTGTACTCCTTACTTTAGTGCCGCAGGGCTGATCCGTATTTACTTTACTAGCTCACACCCTAGAGATCCCCGGTGATAGTAACAGGTTTATTAAACATGACACATTTCACTTTGACTAGTCAGTGGCACAGCTGTGGCTATATTATGGCTCGAGTAACATGAGGAATTTATACCAATAGTCTAACTTAAATTTCTATTATGTAACGCTGGTTAAAAGATTAACAAAGGAGTTGGAGTTCAGTAGTAGTACATGTTTGTCTAAGGAAACAAACGTACTGTATGTGTAAGGAAGCGGCGAGTCACATTTACACATTTACACAACTTGAAGTGGTACAGTTTCATGGCTGACAGCAAGAACCCGTTTTTTTCCTCACTACTTTGAAGCACTCATTGTTTGGTTACAGTTCAGGCTGTTGGAGAAGTGATTAGTGTTGAGTGTAAACAAAAAAAATGTCCCTAAAAGTGAGATTTCAGCAGAATAATTTATTGCAACAATTTAAATGATAAAAAAAAATCTCTTTTCGTCATTATTAAAGGTATACACTACACAAAAACACAAATGTGACAATGTCATAATAAAATAACTTAATGAAGATAAATAAAAAATATATATCTAGCCTGACCATTAAATAAAAATGCATTAAAAGGAATTATTGGACTTGTCTTCATCTTTCATTTTGAATATCGCTTAGAGCAGACAAGCCAGGTGTTTTAGGAGCATCTTCTATGTGCAAACTTAACAAGCTTTGTGCGCAGTGACCGCAGGATGAATAAAAACCGCGCAGGGAAGCCGAGGGAATAGAAGAGCTGCGTTTTTACTTCCTCAGTTCATCCGCACTAGGCTGGAGTTTGCCCCTGAATGACTGTCACCTGAAGAACTTGTCGATGGTGTTGCAAGGACCGAGGCTTTTAACCTTTTTAGACGGAGGAGACGAAGGCGTGTCCCGTCTAAATCATAAAAAGAACACACAACAATGAATACTTTTATTTATACATAAAATTTCAATGCTACTTCAGTCACACTAAATGGAACAAGAAGAGATCGCGTGTCAGCATTCAGTGAAGCGATTTGTAAACAAGCCGTCTCACCTTTTGCTTTTGCCTTTGCTTGCTTGCTTTAGCAGAAGATGTCCTCCGTCTACAAACAGAAAGGGACACTTATTGGCATGGACAGAAAAAATAATGTATCCCCCGCTGTCTTTTCTCTGACATAAAAATGACTTCCATTGAGGAGGTGCACAATCGCAGCACCAGGGATATAAAGAGTGCAATTTCTGAGGCAGGCTTGTTTAAGAGGAAACCGGGGTGCAGTTCATTGTAGGAAATGAATAAGTGAGAAAGTGATTTAGCAATTTCCAAGCCCGGGGCAAAGGGAGCCCCATGGGGTGAAATGAGATGTCTTTTCCTGGTCTGAATCGATACAAACGTCTCACATAGTGTCACTGTCTGTAAATAACAAGGTCATAGGCCACCGACCCCTTCCCAAATACACATTCCTTCTGTTAACTCCGCTGTCATACAGCTTATAGACTCGGCTAACAGCATCACTCCTGTCATCAGGACAGAATAGTTTCTGTCAGTAGAGAGGGTTGCTGTTAGTACCTTCATGTAGCCGAAGCATGTAGTGACTGCATGCATCGTAATGAAAAACATTTTTTTCAGAATACACACACAACAAGGTTCCCTTTGTTTAATACACGCACTTACCTGTGCTCTTGCTATTTTTAACTGGAGATGGATTTATGGAGGATGATGTCTGTCTCCCCAGCTCATGTAAGACCTCCTGGTTCAGGCAGAGGTCAACGTGGTGGTTGAAGACAGCGAGGTCATGAGTCTCCTGGGTCAGCTGACACACTGGGCAGACGAAGACTGGCCCTTTGCTATTAGATGGCTGAGGCTCTTGCAAGGTCGCAGTTTTGTTGTCGTCTTTAATCAACGAAACCTTTTGAACAGAATCTTTTTTTACGCTGCTCTGGCCTTTCTGAGGGTTGACTTTTGACTTCTTCTCTTGAGCCTCGTGCCGCCTCCTCAGTTTGTTCACTGCTGCACGTTCTTCGCGGTCCTTCTTTAGACCCGACTCTGACTCTGTGTCTGACTCTGTGCCATTGTTTGTTTTTTGAGAGGCGTTGGTGAGACATTGGTCTATATGCGTGTTGAAGACATTCAGGTCTGTTGTTTCCACCTTTCTGAAGCACACGGGACATGTGAGGGTTTCTGATTCTTCACAGGCTGATGTGGATGCATGCGCCTGTACAGGACTGGGATTTTCTGAGAGATCGGGCGGTAAATGGTTGTTTTCGCTTGCTGTGGCCGGAGTCCTTGTGTTAGCAATCACTGGAGCGTTTTCCCCGCTCCCCTCATTTTTTGTGGCTGCATTAGCTACCTCGAGTTGCAGTCTTCTAACATGAGCCCTTTGAAAGAAAGACTGCTGGAGTCCCACAGTCGCCTGGCTTCCTTCTGTCTGCCTCTGCTTACTCCGCCAGGGAAGGTCTTCTTGTCTCTGGTGTTTCTGTTCCACTAGGGGGCACATAAGTGGCGAGGTGTGGAAGGAGTAAGCATCGGAGAGATGCTCATTCCCCAGTTTTTGAAGCATCCCTTGGGAAGAACTAGAGCAGTCTGCCTTGCCGCTCTGCAGAAAGCCGACGATGCTCTTCTGCAAGGGCTTTTTATCATCCAAACTAGCGAAGGCAGAAATTCGAACACCTACAAGCACAAAAACAAATCATCCGGAGAAAACCTCTAAACGAATGCCAGCTGTGTTATTATTTCCACATGAAGCTTGTCACACATCATTTAGGTTCATTTCAAGCTAGTTATATTAATTGATATGTCAGTTTTATTGTTATATCTAATTACCCATGAGCCTCAGTCTGAGTGGCTGAGGACTCTCATTTTCTATTTCCGTTTTCAGGAGGTCCTTAGCAACAGCGAAGATCTCATCCACTGTGGCAACAGCACACGGCAGCGTCATTGCCCTGGTTTTCACCTCGAAGTTCACATTCTTGAGCTTCAGTGTTACCGTTTTACCCTTCCAGGAAGACAAAAATATATATATATATACGCCTTTAAATTCATATTAGGCAAACAGTCACGGCCATTTCAGCCTGCACTCTAATTAGACGTAAATAATAGTACCAGGAAAGAGATGGAAATCTGTATAATCATATCAGTGATTGACTTGTCAGAATCCATTTTGTGAGTTTTTATGGCGATATGTTCAAAGCTGATAGTAGCCCCCTTCGGTCTCTTTAATGGTCCTCCATTTCCTGCAGCTATCAAAGCCACATCAGGACCCAGGTAGGGGGGGTAATAGTTGTGCTAAGCCATCCAGTCCTTACTGTATCGATTCAAAAGGGAATGAACATGTTAGAGTAACTGTACGAGATTCTGTTTGGAGACACAGTAAATCTAAGAAGGCCAAGTATAAGAGTTGTGTGTTAGGAAGGTGTCGAGCCTCCATGTGCTGCCAAAATAGCTTCTTCCTGTTTCTGGAAATGTATTGGAGCGACAGAGCATCATACTTTCAAAAGAAATTGTTTTTTCTTTCCCTCTTTTGCTATTTCGATGATGGTGATAGAGAGCGGCGTCTAACATGTCGGTCCACAATGTGTAGGTGTTCAACTTTACACAACTTTTAAGCCATCAAACCATTCAGTGATCACTCGTGCCCTATGGAAGGAGGCACTGCGATCTAGAAAGAAGATGACAGGGGGATGACACAGCTGTAATGAAGGGGTCAGGGGTTTAGCTTTTCCTTTAACTTGCCTCTTGTCTGAAAAAAGTTGATGTATGAAAGCAAGGTAGCTGAAAAGATGTTAAAGAAAATCTTCTTATACAGCGGATATGGGTTTAAAGGTTACAATAACACTGATCAATACCTTCAGACCTTCTTTCTTCATGTCTTCTGCTAGATCTTCACAGAGCTCCCTGCACAAAGACAACTGCTCCTCAACTTTACTCAGTTCTTTAAAGGTCCTGTAAATATTGATAGTATGACAGAGAAATTAGAAGAGAGCTGAAAGAAGGAAACCATTTTTTTTAAACTATCAAATATTAATTAAAATTGTTAAAAAACCTCTCTGTGCTCATGCTTTTTCTTTC